CGTTACCATTTAGACCCATTATTCAGCAAATTCCGCAAAAAATCACTAAAAATTCAACAAATTCAGCAATTCAACAGTAATTCAGCAAAAATTCAACAGTAATTACTGTTTTAAAAAAATTCAGCAAATTCAGAAAATTCTGCTGTTACCATTTATGTTTGATATTATTCAGCAAGTTCTACAAAAAATCAACAGTAATTCAGCAAATTCAGCAAATTCAGCAAAAATTATGCGGTTACCATTTAGACCCTAAATTATTTACTTTTTCTTACTTGTCATCAAATGTAATAAACTTTTTGTTTAACAATGAAGTACAAACTCCTTATTTTTCAAAAAAAAAACAATGAAGTACAAAAATATACGAAGAATGGCGATTGGATGTTCAAGGTATACACGCAACTCATTGATTTGTTTTTATCGTCTCCCACGTGGAATTAATCACCGGCGTATTTTCCGACCATTCGCCGCCGACGAGACGATATATACTAATTATATTAAACGACGACGTGGAGATTTTGATGACAATAACGTGTCAGAATGAGCACCCGTCCGGCACATGATCCACCTGACAAACCGCACGTGATAGAAAAGAGGCCAATCAGATAATTTAATTATATTCCTTCTATTATATAATAAAGATTGATGTTTTGAATTTTTTTTGTTCCATAAACTTGATGTTTAAAATTTTTAAATAATATTTCTGTTAATTAATGTTAACAAACTGCAAAATTCAAGAAAAACTAGTTAAAAATATTTAATACTTTTAAAAAATAATGTATTAATAACTTAAAACTGATTTTTTCTTAATTTGTATGTACAAACCAAAACATCAATCTTTATGGAACGGAAGAAGTACCAAACTGTGATTTTTTTTTTGAAAACGAGAGGGTAATCCGGGTTTTGTACCATTCCGCTAATCTCTCCCTGAATAAAGGTAGTCGTCGAATAACCCACTCACCATATTTTCTAATGAATATAAAACGTGGCACCATTTCAACTACAATGAACCTAAAATGGGTAAATAATTTCGCGTTTAAAAGAAATTGAACTCTGGCGTAAACCTATAAACAACAACTTTTTCAAAAGGAAACCACTAGCCCATCATCATTTTGTTGTGTGTGTTTTTTCTTTTGATATGAATTTCATTTTATTGAAAATTAGATCAGAGATTAGCAATTACATCCACTTTACTTATTGACAACTCAACCAAAATTTATTGTATATTCTCCACTTATATTATGATTCAATAAAAAGCATATGGTTGATACCTACGTTGCATGGAATTGGAAGTGGGTGCGCGGAACCGAAAACGTATAGAAGTGTGGAAACGATTTTTAATAAAAAATTAGGAAGCAGATACATGTTAGAAGTACT